ACGGACAGTTAACCCATAACAACGTATGTAAACGCATGGCAACGGACAGTTAACCCATAACAACGCATGTAAACGCATGGCAACGGACAGTTAACGCATGGCAACGGTCAGGTAACCCATGGCAACGGACCGGTTACCATGGCAACGGACCGGTTACCATGGCAACGGACGGGTAACCCATGGCAACGGACAGTTAACCCATAACAACGCATGTAAACGCATGGCAACGGACAGTTAACCCATAACAACGCATGTAAACGCATGGCAACGGACAGTTAACGCATGGCAACGGACAGTTAACCCATAACAACGCATGTAAACGCATGGCAACGGACAGTTAACCCATAACAACGCATGTAAACCATGGCAACGGACAGTTAACGCATGGCAACGGACAGTTAACCCATAACAACGCATGTAAACGCATGGCAACGGACAGTTAACCCATAACAACGCATATTAACGCATGGCAACGGACAGTTAACGCATGGCAACGGTCAGGTAACCCATGGCAACGGACCGGTTACCATGGCAACGGACCGGTTACCATGGCAACGGACCGTTACCATGGCAACGGACCGTTACCATGGCAACGGACCGGTAACCCATGGCAACGGACCGGTAACCCATAACAACGCATGTAAACGCATGGCAACGGACAGTTAACCCATAACAACGCATGTAAACGCATGGCAACGGACAGTTAACCCATAACAACGCATGTAAACGCATGCAACGGACAGTTAACGCATGGCAACGGACAGTTAACCATACAACGTATGTAAACGCATGGCAACGGACAGTTACCCATAACAACGCATGTAAACGCATGGCAACGGACAGTTAACGCATGGCAACGGTCAGGTAACCCATGGCAACGGACCGGTTACCATGGCAACGGACCGGTTACCATGGCAACGGACCGGTAACCCATGGCAACGGACAGTTAACCATAACAACGCATGTAAACGCATGGCAACGGACAGTTAACCCATAACAACGCATGTAAACGCATGGCAACGGACAGTTAACGCATGGCAACGGACAGTTAACCCATAACAACGCATGTAAACGCATGGCAACGGACAGTTAACCCATAACAACGCATGTAAACGCATGGCAACGGACAGTTAACGCATGGCAACGGACAGTTAACCCATAACAACGCATGTAAACGCATGGCAACGGACAGTTAACCCATAACAACGCATGTTAACGCATGGCAACGGACAGTTAACGCATGGCAACGGTCAGGTAACCCATGGCAACGGACCGGTTACCATGGCAACGGACCGTTACCATGGCAACGGACCGTTACCATGGCAACGGACCGGTAACCCATGGCAACGGACCGGTAACCCATGGCAACGGACCGGTAACCCATAACAACGCATGTAAACGCATGGCAACGGACAGTTAACCCATAACAACGCATGTAAACGCATGGCAACGGACAGTTAACCCATAACAACGCATGTAAACGCATGGCAACGGACAGTTAACGCATGGCAACGGTCAGGTAACCCATGGCAACGGACCGGTTACCATGGCAACGGACCGGTAACCCATGGCAACGGACAGTTAACCCATAACAACGCATGTAAACGCATGGCAACGGACAGTTAACCCATAACAACGCATGTAAACGCATGGCAATGGACAGTTAACGCATGGCAACGGACAGTTAACCCATGGCAACGGACCGGTAACCCATGGCAACGGACCGGTAACCCATGGCAACGGACCGGTAACCCATGGCAACGGACCGGTTACCATAACAACGCATGTAAACGCATGGCAACGGACAGTTAACCCATAACAACGCATGTAAACGCATGGCAACGGACAGTTAACCCATAACAACGCATGTTAACGCATGGCAACGGACAGTTAACCCATGGCAACGGTCAGGTAACCCATGGCAATGGACCGGTTACCATGGCAACGGACCGGTTAACATGGCAACGGACCGGTTACCCATGGCAACGGACAGTTAACCCATAACAACGCATGTAAACGCATGGCAACGGACAGTTAACGCATGGCAACGTACAGTTAACCCATAACAACGTATGTAAACGCATGGCAACGGACAGTTAACCCATAACAACGCATGTTAACGCATGGCAACGGACAGTTAACCCATGGCAACGGTCAGGTAACCCATGGCAACGGACCGGTAACCCATGGCAACGGACAGTTAACCCATAACAACGCATGTAAACGCATGGCAACGGACAGTTAACCCATAACAACACATTTTTTTCAATTTTTTTTTTTTTTTTTTTTTTTTTTTTTTGTGTCCCGTTTGAATCTATAGCCATCAGAATTGTTGTCTTGAGGCCAAGAAAGATGCCAAGAGGATTTATTTTAAGTGGATCATCATATTGGTCCATTTGATTGACCTTTATTATAATTATGAATTTATTTTATTTTCAGTTGCAAACGGGACAGACATGACTGTGGGATAGGACAGGGGGAAAGAATGAAAGAAAGAGGGGGAGAGAAAGAAAGAAAACCAAAGGGAGAAAATCAACTATCAACTTTCCTTCTGACGATGCTGTCTGTGTTGAGCGCTCAGTGAATCTGCATTTGACTACTCCGCCTAGGCTCGAGAGTGCAGCCTAGGCGGAGTAGTCGAACGCAGATTCACTGAGCACTCAACACAGACAGGATGGTCAGAAGGAAGAGCGCAGGGCAAGCTAGCGAGACAGAAGTGGACCTCCCCACCCTCATTCAGATCTGGCGTTTGGAATTATTTTGGTTTTCATGTGACGTATGACCCTGAAGGTAAGCGAGTCATGGACTAAAGTAAAACAGTATGTTGGATGTGCCATGCAATGCTCAATTACATGGGTGGGAGCTAGTGTGTTAGCGCAGTTAGCTCGTTAACGTGTTGGCCGTCTAGCCCCTCTGTATAGGGTAGCTCGTTAACGGAGATTTGCCGTGTTGTGGCGTTAAGGTTATTTCAACGAGATTAACCTGAAAGCACTAGTGGGAACACAACGAATATGACTGCACATTTACACCGACATCATCCTAGTGCAAAGACAAAAACAAGCATGCATGCTACAAACTTTAGCCGAGTCATTTAGACAGCTGTTAGCACAGGATTCTCCTTATGGAGACCTGATATGTTTAATATGCTGCTGAGAATATAGCCCAGAAGAAACGGATAGTATAGCTTTTATTTTGGAAAGAGACATTTCTCTGTAATAAACTCTCTTTTCCAAAGATGAGTGATTCCTCAATCAGATACAGGGCTCGCAATATCGCTAGCCCGACGTCCCGGGGCTATCTCTGCCCTGCCTGTCGGGCTATTGTAGGAAGGAAAAATATATGTCAATGCTTTTGCATTCTTTCAGAAATGTAGCTGGGTAATTATGTCATTGGGTGAGCCACTGTCAATATGTGACATATTGAAATAGTGTTTGAATTTGCGCTTGTTTTTTTGCTTTCACTTTGCAATCGCGCGAACTGTGTATAGAGAGCGACAGCACTGATCTGTGAGTGATGATAATTTGTGCACCAATTCCTCTGACATCGTCTTATTAATTGTTAGCTTACTATGCAAACATGACAAGTGAAATCTCCCGCAGCTTAAACATGTGAGAGGTTGATCGCGCAGAGAATCGCTGAGCTTGAGTGCGGCAGGATATATATTTCACTACGATGACCTGGATGATTGAGAACCTTCACAGACAGATATATATTTTAGTTCTGCTGAGCCAAATAAGACAGGTCAGGGTGAAGAAGTGACAGCCAAAGAAAAGCTTACCACAAAACGGAGAAGTTATGACAAATCAGACTATAAGGCAAAAAGAAAGTGCAGCTTTATGGTTTCATGGACAAAAGAATTTCTGTGGCTGCAATATGACGAGCTAAAAAACAACACGCACAAGGGTTAGGGTTAAATTTAAAAACTGTACTTTTGAGTTAAAATATATATTTATAATTTTAATAAATGTCCAAAGACATGCAGCTTGTGGGGATAGGTTAATTGGATAATCCAAATTGTCACTAGGTGTGAATGTGCGAATGAATGTGAGTGCGAATGGTTGTCTGTCCCTGTGTGTTAGCCCTGCGACAGACTGGCGACCTGTCCAGGGTGTACCCCGCCTCTCGCCCTATGACAGCTGGGATAGGCTCCAGCGCCCCCCGCGACCCTGAAAAGGATAAGCGGAAGCGAATGGATGGATGGAAATTAAAAAGGCATGAACATTTTTTTTTGTATCGAAAAAATATCGAACCGTGACACCAAAGTATCGAACCGAACCGTGAATTTTGTGTATCGTTGCACCCCTAATATATATATATATATATATATATATATATATATATATATATATATATATATATACACATATATACACATACATACATACATACATACACACACACACCCCCACATAACACAACACATTGCAGTTTAACAAGGAGGCAGCCCAACAATTTGGAAAGCTTTACAGACCTGCATTTCCTATCGCCTCAGTGCACTACAGCCAGCCAACAGCACAACAAAAATCTAATTTCACTTTAAATTCTCTTTCTACTGTTTTGGCAAAAGCCACTACCTACTGTGCACTCAGTTAGATCCCAACCAGTGAACACAAAACACTAAACCACTAACCAAGCCTATATCGAACTCAGTCAACAGCAGCTTTATGAATGGATAAGAAGGAGGATGAATAGCATCTGTAACCTTAACTTGTAATGTGTTCATATGTTACAGAATAATACATTACTTCCTACATGCACAAGGAAACTAGAAGTCACTTTGCTCCAACTTCTTCTAGGGCCTTGTGCATGCATGCTATATTTATATGCCTGACTATCAGCGTAAGTGATTGAGAAAGAAAAGCACTTTCCAGCACATTGTTTCCAGTAAGACCCTCATCCATTAAGTTATGAATAAATAAATATTATCTGCCCAGTCTCTGTATACAACCATGTATGCGTATACGTGTGTATGTGTTTGTGTTGAAGTTTGCATTACTGACATCCAGTATGGGTCCATTGCAGTAGTGGCATCGCGGTGAGAACAGGTTGTGGTAATCTTTCTCGCAGTAAGGGTGCCCATCGCGCTCAAAGAAGTTCCTAGAGCCAATCTCGTCCTGACAGTGGGTGCACACGAAGTGCTCGGGGTGCCACGTTCTGCCCATGGCAGTCACCACCTGGTGTGGGGAGACACGGTGCATGAAAAATTAATGAGCTGCAAGGAGAAAAGACCTGGCTCAGCAGAGAAAATCTCTGCAGCAGAGCATGAGAGCAGCAAAGGGAATCCTGCAAACAGCAGCAGATGTTTGCAACTCAAAGTTTAAAAGGAATAATAACCATATTTACAATCATCTTGTTCCACATAAGTAAAAACATCTTTATAATCCTGTGAAAACATTAAGCCTCTGTAAATTCAAAGTATCGCAAAATATCATTTTTCTGGAGGAGGAGCTGCTGCTGAAATCCAGATAAGTTAGTTTCACTAACTTATCTGGATATCATGTACTTATATTGAGCTTAAAGCTACACTTTGGTAAAATGAAACACACATTGTATTTATTACCCCACTTATTGGCTGTAAACTAAATGAAAGGTGAGCTATTGATAGACTAAGCAGCTTTGAAGTGAAACATAAGCCAACGCTGCACTCATTGTGCAAATAAATCTAAAGTGTAATCTTCTCTTCACCATACCATTAACAGAAAACTGCATTAATGTGTGCAAAATCCCACTGGGTATTCGTGCATAAAAATAACAGCCTGCGAGCACACGTGTCTAAAAATAGGCGAGTTAAAAGTTTAGTATGTGAGCCACATTCAACATACATGTATGTTTACATGTTTCTGTGCTGTTACCTGCCCAGCAATCGGTTTCTTACAAGCACCGCAGACCCCTTTAGCCACTGTCTGGACGCCAAGTTTGTTGAGGTCAGACTGCAAGCTTCCCAGCATGTTGTCCAGCTTGTTGGCTGGTTTGGGGGCAGGAGAGGGAGAAGTCATTCCCGGTGAATGGATCTGACAGAGATGGAAAAGCAAAGTGTTTAATTACACCATTCAGATGCTTCAATAAACAACCTCAGTATAATATCAGTTAGTGTGAGTGAATCGCACCACTGCTACATTTTGTGTTTTCATTTTTCTTGCACACTTACTTGACTTCATGTAGCTGTCTTTGTAACTGGGATTTAAATTGCACTCAGAGGAACAATTTTAAAGTCGCAGTGGTGCTTTCCGGAAGTCGATATAGTATAAACATAAAAATTTCTGAGAGTTTATTAATTTAAAAAAAGCTTCCTTTGGCTGCCCTCTTATTCACAAGGGCTCACCACAGCAGATGGCTCAGCATATTTGATTTGGCAAATTTTCACACTGGATGCCCTTCCTGATGCAGCCCCAAAGGGATTTGTGTCTCCTCCTGGCTTTGAACCAGGGATCCTTGAGGTGTGAGACTTACATGTAAACTACAAAGAAACCTAGAAACCTCCAGGAATGAAAACTCAACGCTAAAATGCAGGAACTATAAGTTCATAGTTTTTTAAAGGATTATTAGAGGTGTAGTTGCTTTGACCACAAGTGGATGCAGACAGTGGACGCTACAATGGCTACCTGTGTGCTATATGTCACCTCAACGTCTCTACTGTCTTTGTAGTTGATGGCCTATGAAGTCTTGAGCTCCAACAGTTCCACCTAGATCAGCCCTAATCTATGTTAACAGGCCTCAAATATTAACATGTATGTGTAAATGTGTCTGGTGACTAATGCAAGCAAACACAGACCTTCTCAGGTGGTGTTGTCATTGGAGCGTCATGACTCCTACATTCCACTGAAGGAGAAAATAGCACCTATGCTGCATGCCCCCACCACCCACACCCACGGCCTCCATACATTTGATAAAATTAAACACAGCCTTTTCCTGGGTATTTCACCATGGTTGTGCTATTCTGCTAAAGCAGGTTCTAACAAAGTTTTTTTTTCCTAAAAGCATGATTGTATAAGAAATTCAGCTTCAACTGGTTGGTGTCTGACATAATGGGACATGTTGACTTAAGTCTTGTGAGACATGCTATAATTGTGACGGTAACTGTGCTGTCATGCGGCAGATTAGGTTTCAGTGGCACTGCAATCCTTCCATTCCTATGCATGGCAGGACTCTTAGTGTAACGGGAATATCAGGGAGTTACACTCTGCTTTCCTCTAAGCTCTTAAATTCTCCTCTCTAACACACTGTTCTTGGCGCCACTGGATGTCAGAATTAGAATGTGGGCTCAGTCCTTCTAGCCTGAATGTCAGCACCCCTGTGACTGGACTGCAGACAAAGCCTTCATGAGGTTACCTGTTTGACACCAAGGGCCAAAAACAGAACGAGTGTCTGGACAAATTCCTTAACGCCCATACATATCCAAGTAGCCAACAAACAAGCTCAAGTAAAACAATTCAAAGTGTGACAGAAAGTGGAAAGAATGAAGTTAGAGGAGGAAGATGGAAGAAAGGTGATCCGTGCCTGAATCGGTGGAAAGATGGGGTCGTACTCTGTCTGACAACCCACTGATACAAAGAGCTTGGCAGGCGGGGGTGGCGTGACCGGCTTGGGTGGAGGGCTAGGTGATGGAGGAGGTTGGACAGGGGGAGGTGTGGGCTCCCTGGGAGGAGGAGGAGGTGGGGGAGGAGGAGGAGGAAGAGGAGGAGGACTAGGTTCCTTGGGAGGTGGAGGGGTAGGTTCTCGAGGAGGAGGTGGGGTTGGAGGGGGAGGAGGTAGTGGCGGAGGAGTCTGCTTGATGGGGGGTGGCTTTTTGAGAACTGGGGGAGACAGTGGAGGGGGAAGGACTTTTCTCTGTGGGGCGGGTGATTCAGGAGGGATGATGATCTGGGAGGAAGAAGGAAACAAAGCAGCGAGGAAAGGAGAAGAAACATCAGACACAAAAAAGGAAAACTATATTGGCCCGAAAAGTGAAACTGTTTAAACTGTTTGCCAATAACAAGTAAAATTTTATGGTTAAATTTGAAAAATGATAAATATCTAATATCTGCCAGTTAATTCTGTGATCAAAAGCCAAAAAGGCATAAACTACACCATCAGTGAGGCTTTTCGTCTCCACCTTCATCCTGCTACCTTATCCACAGATGGCTGAATCCCTTCCTCTCGTGTCCGCTGTGGGTTGGATGTAACAATGACTCCCTCCGTCAACCAGTCATCGGGCTGTTGTTTACGCCTGCGCTCCAACCGCCCGATCCCCAGTTTTCCCTGCAGCTCTTCAATAAGTCGATCTTGCGAGTTGCTTTTATTTATAATGATTGGTCCCATTTTACGTCTCAACATTCCCTCCCTGTACATTGGGTGCACGTTGGACGTCTCTTTGGTGCGGCGGATAACTGACTTGAGCTGGAGAGCAGACAACAAGTTGGTGTGGGAAGCTGGAATTGTGCCATACGCCGAAGGAAAAAAAAAAAATCAATCACAAGCAGGATGGGCTCAGAAGTGGATTTCTCACTCAAATGCAAAAACCCACACGCAGCGGCTGGGGTCAAAATGCTATGCAGTTTTTCTGTCAGGCATATTTAATTGATTTTGTTTGCAGAAGCCGAGCATCAGCCTCCTGCACAGGCTCATTCTTTAATATCAACATAAAACCTGCCGGAAATCCATGGCAAGGCATGCTCGATGGAAAACACCCGTCTATAACAAAATAAAATAAAACTCTGCACATGCCAAAGCAGGGCCAAAGATTAAACCAACAGAGCTCTAGTGTGCATTTTAAATTCATCTGCAAATGCAAAAAAGGGAAGGGAAAAGATATCCCTTTTACTGTGGAGTCTGGGTCTTTTCGTATTGGCCGTGTCAGTGATTAAAAGCTTGAACATGACATGTCAGGTGCTATGACTAACACAGCAATGTCAATGAAGCAAGTGGGGGCGTGCAGAGACATCTTTTCAGCAAAGCTTTCAACATCAGCCACAACTGATCTCCACACAGCGACTTCTCCCTCAAGCCATTCTGAAATTGCTATATGACACCACATGCATCACACCACAGAGACTGAGGAATTTCTCCTCATCTTGACATGTTTGTACTATTGCACAGCTCCTCGAGTACTTGTAGAGCTGCTTGCCCAAAATAAGCTTTTCAGCATTTTGCTTGAACAACCAATTAATACAACCCTGCTGCCATTACTTCCAGATATAATTTATATCTTAGCCACATGCCAATTAAAAGGGAGCCACAAAGTATTAAATCCTCTATAGCTTCATGCCAGCAGCTTATTTTGGAAGAGTCAAGCTGAGCCTCCTACTTGACCAGAAGCAGATAGACGGTCAACAGCAGAGGGCTGCTGTATGGGCAAGTCCAGCGTTGCATCTGGAGTCCCAGGGCAGGTGGAGGGGGTAAAGCACTCATCCATCCAGCTGGACTCAGTCATGGGTGTCAGGGTTCCCTCTAGGCTGAGATCTGGATAAAATCCATCTTCCTCCTCCCAAGATCTGTCTTCTTCCCCGGGCACAAAAGCAGTCGGTGGCTGGTTCTCACCCAGTCGAGTGGAGTCGGTTGATAAAAGTTTCTCTAAAGTATCATCCAAAAAAGGCTTCCGGCATGGCCACGTTAAACCCAGCACTTCGCCTCCCTGACTTTCTATAAGTGGTGCATAAAAGCCACTTGACGGCACAGTGGCGACCGAAACTGGAGACCCTGTGGGACTGCTGCTGCTTGGAAATGTGTATGTTTTCCCCCTAACTGGAGCAGGACTCTTAGGACAAGTATCTTTTGGGACTGTTTCAGGACTGGAGCTTTTAGATACAGCTGGAGAACTAGAGATATTAGGAATTGTTACAGGACTTGAAATCTTTGGACTTGAAAGTCTCGGAAGTGTTAATGGACTAGCTGACTTGGGCACTGTTTCCATGGTGGTTGGCACGGTAACTGGGCTATCCCTCTGTATTGCTGTTTGTGGACTGTGACTTACAGGAGCAGGACTGAGACTTTTAAGGACCGGGCTTTTACATTCAACATCAGGAGGACTGGGACTCTTGCCTTTAACAGTGGGACTCGGGCTTTTAGAGACTGTAACAGGACTTTTAGAAACAACCACGGGTTTGGAGCTCGTGGCAGCAGCACCTGGACTAGCATACTCTTTAGTTATTATATGAGTGGGGGTGTCAACTTCAGTTTCACTGGAGGTTTTTACAGTACTGGAAAAACTAAAGCTCTCAACATGTGAGATCTCAGAAGTGACAGTGCCATCATCAGCCTTCTGTTGGATCTGAGAGTACTGAAGGCTCTTAGATGATGCTATTACTACAGCAGAAAGAGGTGAAGATGCAAGAGCTGAACCACCATCTTCATCTATGTGGAGTTCCAGCGGGAGTGGTGTACAGGACGGAGCAGTGTAACTATTGGGTAGAGGAGTATCAGGGGAACCAATCTGAGGCGTTATAGGTGGGTTAGTTATTGGGTGGATAACCGGTGAACCAGCAACTAATAATGGGTCAACTGCATCTTGATTGACAGACACCTGAGAGCCAGACTAAATCAGGTGCAATTATGTGAAGGGTGCAATGTACATACAAAGACAAGACATACACAGTGGTAGAGAAAAGAGAAAGAGACCAGGAAAATAAAGAATGAGATGAGAGTGAAAGAGAAAGGACAGTAAAGAGCATCACAAAGCAAAACCTGGAAAGTTACTGTAATACAAAAAAAATTGTTGTTTCAACACGAATGAATGATGTCATCACAAATACTGACAACAAATTAAAAAAAAAAAAAACCTTGGTCACTGCAATGTTGAAGAAATGCAGCTCATAAAAATAAGACCTAAAAACAGGCAAATGCCAAAAAAACAAAACAAAACAACAACTTTCTATAATTAAGAGATGCAAAAACATCCAGTACAGCTAAATTCTAAACAGCCACACATACCAAAAATAACTGTCCTCAATCAAACCAAAGTCAACCCACTTCTGAACCACACTCACATTGCTTTGCACTTTGAAGTCAGACAGGGAGGCCATTAGCTCATCCAGCTCTCGTGTGGCAGAGGAGGCAGACATTCTGGCTTGTTGTTGTGACAGCGTTTCTTGTCCATCTGTTTGCTCATCTGACACCACCAACGGTGCGGGACTAGTGAGGAAAACACCACCGTCAACCAAAATGACTGGATTTTTAAAAAATAAATACAAATATAAACCACGTACAGTATAAAAGTGGTTCATGCCAGCATAAAATACATGGGCACAAACTTCTCAGTAGTACAAATCCAGTTTTTCTGTAACAATTTTTGGTCTTACTGTGGTGCTGGGACAGAGCTTTCCAATTCATTCAGAAGGCTCTCCACACTTGGTCGAACGTCCTCGATTCCTCGAGTGGGTCCACTACGTTTGGGCTTCTCCACCACAGTGGCTTTACCTGCAGTGGAGACTCCATTCTCCTGTACGTGGTGGACAATGCTGCTGCCAGGCAGCGGTGGAGCAGCTTCCTCTACGGCATAAAGAAAAAAAGAAAAAAGATGAATGCATATCCTGCTAAAATGCATACATAGTGTGAAGTGCAAACACTGAAACAGTAACAGAATACAGTGGAAAGAATGACACCATTGTGTAATACCACAGAAACAGAAGTACCATAGTTAGACGGTGACATCGACATTCCTTCAGAGAAACATGAGGGAGCATTTCATAAACTGAAATGCTCCCTCATAATTGTACCTTCTGTGGCGAAGGCAGGGGTGCTTTGCTGCACAGCGTTGAGCTCCAACAGCAGGCGGTCCAGCTCAGACAGGTTGCTGCCCAGTGAGTTCATTGCACCAGCTGATGAGTCACTGCTCTTATGTTTATTAGGGAGACTGAACAGGGCAGAGACATGAAACAACATTTATCATCAACAACATCTTGTTTCAAGCTTAGCACCAAGTGGAAATGGTTATTTCTGATCAAATGTTTTTACTTATTAGTTTCTACTCAGAAACATATTCTAAAAAAATTTAGCTGTACTGAGTTTTTGTTGTTGGAAAGATGTCTCAAGAGCTTCGTTGAGACTTAACATGACCTCTAACCTGTACACGTGGTCCTCTCCACCAGTGGGTTGGCCTAGACTGCTGCTATCTCTAGACCAAGGACTTCTCTGCGCTGTGCCGACAGACTGAAATAAGGAAGTAAAATAACAATAGTGAATTTAGAGGATCAATGCAGCAACTAATTCACTTCTCATCCATGAGTTCATCAGGCAGCATTTGAAACGAAACAGTCTTTGGTTAATTCCCCAACATTTACAGCATGCATGCATTTACCTCTATTTCTTCTACTCCATTCAGAGCTTGGTCTGAGGGAGTAGGTGGGACTTGGGATGGAGAGCAGATGTCTTGCTGGGTCTGACCCCGCACAGGAAAAGAGTAGGCGGCCTCTTCAGACAGGAAAAGGGGGTGTTTCGAGATGTGGGATGTTGTGGACTCGAGGTCCGCCAACAAAGCATCTACATAAACAAAAAAAAAAAAAAAAAGCACAGATTGATTAGCATCTGGTTATGCCATATCCTATCTTGAATTTTAACTTTTGTCGTTCAATTATTTATGGTCTTGTACTTTGATGTATTAGGTATCCTTGAGAGCTTTAATAGCTGCCATTTTTAAAAAATGTATTACTAACCTCTAACACCATAGCTCTCATGACTGTCTATGGGAAAGAAAGAAATCAGAGCGTGCTATCACAAGATCTTTGAGCATTCAGCACAAAACCAATGTGATGGAACAGGGGGGGGGAAAAAGTCAGCGACCGCCATCTATCCAACACTCCAATCTGCTAAAAGTCCAAAAGCATAAAACAAGGCCTATACCGATGTTGAGCGGACATGTTGGTGCACTTCTGAAAAGTTAGTACTTTCAATGAACTTCTAGTGAATAATATTCGACTCATGATATGCTGCTTGCATACACGAACACCAAGTAATTACTGCTTCTTTCGCAACCTGTCAAAACCTCCAAGAGCGCTGACATCAGAGGGAGTGGAGTTGTAAAAGTTGAATCATGCAGGCAGTCATGACCACTCCTGTCGTTACTTATTGACCCTCTCCTGCCTGCAATTGTGAAATGGTTTAAAGGGTTGCTGTCAAATCTGCACACAGGTATACACACGGACATATTTACCATCTAAACGCAGACAGGTCCCCCAGAGGAATGCAGGCCAAGAAAACAACTACTAATTAAGCAGTCCCAGCAAGTAGGTAGAAGGACATATAACATTAAAGGGGATTTAATGAAGAGCACAGGCTGTATTACTGAATACTCAGGCTTATTTTAGCATACTCACCCACCAGAGCAGGGTTTAGTTTCTCTTGCAGAATTTCACAAGTCCTAAAAAATAAGACCCTAAATTGAAGAACAAACTTGATCCAATAAGATGTGTTTTATGAATAAAGCAACTCGAAATAATTACAGTTTAAACACACTGTCAGGATACCAGTGTGTTACAGGTAAAGGCACAACTGCTGCCAATCTAAAGCAGTAAAACTAACAAAGTTAAAGTATATAACCAAAACTGTAATGATCAGCATTAAGTCTCATTCTGTATCGCTAAAACACTGACTAAAAATATTTAAAGAGCGCACAGCACTCTCTAACCTTCTATGACAAAGTCTGACATATAGCTAGGGAGTATTCAACATAGGTTAGCAAGCTTAACCACTTCCTAAAATTAAACACTGGGTCAGCAGTCAAACCCATAGCTAAAGTAACCAGCACATGAGACATACCTCTGAGAAAGGCAAAGACAGTACACACAAGGAAGTGAAGAGGCACAAATGCAGAGATGAAAAGAATCAGAGGAGGAAGAGGGCAACCTAAACACAACGTTTGCCAGGCAGGAACTGCCTTTCTTAACTCTACCATCAGTGCAGCAGAACGAGAGACGAGGAGGGGGAGAGGATCACCGAGAGAGGGGAAGGAGGGGTTAAAAATAATGCCGGGGGGTAAGGTTCACCCCTTCATTGCTATGCCAGCTCCAACTAGCTGCCTGAAAGCTTAAGTAAGAAAGCTTAAGTAAGTAGAAACACTACTCACACAGATCACGACAATCCTCTGAAAAAGTGTCCAGGGTCTGAGCAACTGAACAAGTGCACAATGTGGTGAACTGAGGAAAGTTGAAAGCAATCGCAGCTCTTATCAACACAGACATGCCCAACTATGGGAGTGGTATCACAAAGGTATATAAGGGGCTGTAATCAGCCCCTCCTTCACACTGGTAGCGTAAGCTCTGCTCAGGTTACTCATGACTCATGACTACTTTTTAATGCTGCATGTTGCATTATATTTAGTCCTTTAATTATAATCGTAAATATACAAGTGTGTTTTCTTGCCACAGTTTAGGTGGAGACTAACTCATGCTGGGTATACCGAAGTACCACGAAGTACTATGAGTACAGTGGTAATTCGGTCTGCAAGGTTTCCCAGACAGAGAGGAGACACAGCAGAAACTGAGCCAGAGCAATACCAGATCCACTTGGAGCACCTTAGCGCTACCGTGATAAACACGATTAACGTGGTTAAAATGCCAGTTGACAGGGTTTCACAGCAGAGTCTCCTCTCTGGACACAGAAGCCCGGATACATTCCACAGAGTTTCATTATGGACACAGCAGCACACTGTTTACACTACTGCAGCCAGCTCTGAGTGCACCTTCATCTCTTACTTGGTAGCAGCAAACAAGCACACCCATAAAAGCAAAGAGGCAGAAACAACACATCTGTCACTTTAAAGTAAATACCAAGTATGGTGTGTGATAAAACCTTCCATTGAAAGATGGCTAGAAGCAGCGGCAGGGCCAGCACACACACACACAGGTGTACCTAACACTCAACAGTGCGGCTCGACTTCTGGTCCACAAGAAGGCAAAGTCAGGAGGACTGTGAGCTTGCTTGCTTAAATGAAGTTGACACTTCTTCCTTATAACTTTTCTTACACCAGAGCTGATTTTAACAGTGTGACATAACGCACAACACGCAAGGAAACTGCGGCAGAGATGCACTGTTAGGAAACAGTCCACTAGATCCTTTGCATTTAGCAAGCAGTGAGTTTGATCATGTAATGTGATGCTCATAGATAGGTCTAAAGTTTGTAGTTGTAATTAAACATCTGAAAATTTGTAAAACAAATCTACACAAAAGTGTTTTCTGTATGGGCTTAAAGTGTCCAATCAGAGAGCAGCTGGTTCCATTTCCTGAAAAGTGTAGTGCGTTTTCAAAATCCTCTGGTTGCTGAAGGCCCTATGCAACAGTGCGTTTTGTAAATCTACTTCTCCTTTTGGGACCTGCAGCAGCAATTAGGCCAGAAACATAACTGGTAAAGCGACCATCACTATCTCTCTTCTGATTGGACCGTTACAATGTATCTCAAGATCAAGGAAATCCAATCAGATCAGAGGGTCAGATTTTATACTGGGAGCTTTGATCTGTGGCGATCTACATGGAGTTTTGTGCTTCGTATCTGTATACAAGATCACAAAAGCACATCTTTCTCCACTCCACAGTCTACAAAATACCACCACAATTACGTCACCCAGTGTTTAGTGGCTGTCACCATCTTGGTGTTTTAAAACCCTCACACGTGAGGGACTTAAAAAGCGAGGGACACTGCACTTTTATGTGGGGTCGTGACTTTTCAATCACCAGGTAGGCTCATAGCTGGCTTCATCCTCAGAGAGCCATAATTTCCGAACCGAACGCCACGCTGTATTCAATCAAATCTGAAACCGGCGATTTTAAGCATAAATTCACGTGGAAGTTTTTAAAATAAAAAACAGCAGTAGGATAATTTCCCAAAAGACCTATTTTTTTTTTTAGAGGTCCGGTTTCGGAAGTGAACCTCCCATCCACTTTCTCCACTGCCATTTCATCAGATCCTTATATAAAGAGTTTAAAGCCTTGAACCGAACCAAGCCAAGCAGCTACACACAAAGATTTGATCTGCATCACAAAAAAACAGAACATGGAAAAGCCAAAGGTATAAGATTGTTCACTTTTAACAGTGAAGTAACTACTCATGGGTTTTCAAGTGACCTGACATTTTGTGGTTTAAACGCTTCCATAGTAACAACGGTCTCCATCCATCAGTCTTTGAGGATTGTGGGAAGAATAATTTCTTTTCCATGACATCGTGAATAACACAGGATTTTATTAAAACAAGGTTGATATCATACCATCATTTTAGCGTCACAGCTCGTTGAAAGTCTACTCTCAATGCCTACAGCATTATGGCTCATAATCAAAATCCCTATGGAGAATATGAATGGGATTTTTACTTTAAGATTCCCATTGCGGAGCGCCATACAACTATTTTTTATCTGAGTTTTTGGCAACCACAGGGCTCGCCCCTGCTGAAGTTGGGTCCCATCTTTTATACACAGATCAACTTTTGTTTTTGTATTGTGATGAATAATGAATTTTTCCATGTACATTTAGCTTACAAAACATCATTTATGAACAGCACTTTACTTTAGTCCAACATTTTTTACCCTAATTTGAGCCACACTACACCACACCACATAACTATGTAAAGCATTCAGAAGAACAACCTAAAAAAATCTGATGAGAATAAATCAGAACTAACGCAAATCACAGCAGAACATAATTTAGGTTTCATCAGATACTTTTTTGAAATACTGCATAAATAAATGGTACAAATATCTGCAGGGCTCATATCTGTTACTGATGTCAGAACAAAGTTTTACTACAGCTGGTGGAGACTTCAGTGAACACATGTTAGTCCAGATGGTTTACACAAGAGATGTTAATCAACTTAGCTCTCAAGCTGAACTAGATTTAACCCTGCATCTGCTTCTCTAAAATACAGTTACTGCTAAAACATGAACCTCCAGGCTACAGATACGCATACTCTGTTTGGCACTGCCTTACACCAGAATACTGACTTCAAATACAAGAGAGAGGCTTTACCAAAATAAGGCACGCTAATTGAAATCAACAGCTCATTTCCCACGGCAATGTCATTAGCGCGCAGTCCTAATGAACAGAATATAATTTAGCTAAGTTTTAGGGCTGTGTTTGTTTAGTAAATGCAGCATGTTAGACGTGCTCTGACCCATCCACAAACTACACAAGCACACTGAGGTGTGTCAGCTTCCTCTGCCAAGAGAACATACCGTGACACAGACTCCAGTGCAAAACACACACAAGGTCTCCAAAGGCCAAAAATGAAAAGAGGAATAAAATAAAGAACACATAAAAACCTGTGCTAAATATCTACTGAAACATGGTTTCATGTCTTCTACTGAAAGGTGAAGGTGAGCTTGTTTTTGTATTTTGTTAGTGAGCGCAGGTTAATTCCCCGGAGTTCTTGGGAAGAAGGAGGTTTTATAAGGGGGACAAATCTGCTTTTCAGCACCTGGAGAAAAAACAGGCTGCACGTAGAGCTAACAGCCTGAATACATCAATTAAACTCAGTCATCCCTCTTAATTTGCAGCTA